ACTAGATGAGGCAGGGGCAGGGTTTGGAGCTAATCAAGAATGCTGTAATATATATGTGTGTAGCCTAGCGAGCGCACTCCAAAGCAGCTATATGCACCAAAAGGAACCACAAAAACCTTTCTAGAATAAGCAAATATAAAAATAAAGTGCAGCGCTAAGATAAATAGTAACTAATAAGGGGTGATGCCATCTATCCCCTACAGCAGGCGTGTTATTACACAAAACACGTCTAGGAGGAGCCCTTGCACACCTTGACGTCACGGATCAGGAGGCCCGGCTGCCACCATATGTTTCACACTGGTCAGTGTATTCAGCAGTTCATGCTACATTACTACGACTACTCACAGTCACCCTGTGTTTTACTTTCATTTATGCTTGTATTTATATACTACCAATAATTTATGCTCAATAAATCCTTTGGAATACTACACTATGAGCACCTATATCTTTATTGCTTTGCACTGTGCTTCCACACCTCAGCCCAGTATTCCAGGTGACCTGTCCAGGCCTAGGAAGCAAACCCTTAGACCAGACCAGTATACCCGCTACCCGCCACCAAACTGAAGGACCACCTGAGGATCATCCTAGTACCAGGCAGTACCTACATAGGACCTCCGGTTATCTGAGATCTCTATATGTGCATTAAGATTGCGCTTCCGGTGAGTGGGCAATCTTTCCATACTCTCACATCGGGATGCTGGAGCAGTGTTCATACTGATTAAAGTCACGATATATCATTTTGGACTGTTCACCTATATTTATAATATACCATATTGGACTCTTTATTCATCTTTATTATTATTTATAATACTTGCATAAGATTTGTATCTTATTGGTTACTATTTAACTTAGCGTATGCACCTTAAGAATGCTGTAATGTGTTTGATAGGAGGAAAGAGCAAAGTGAGCAGAAAGAAGATCTCATCAGACTGCTGCTGCTCTTTCACTGCCCAGTTAAAAGGTTTGGGCTGCAAGGAGGATGTCATTGTATTCTTTAAAGTGGTAGTAAACCCGGTACAAGGCAATGTCATAATGTGCTAGTATGCATCACATACTAGCACATTATGTGAAACGTACCTTAAAATGAAGCTCTCTCACCGCTTACAGGGCTTCCGTCTTCACTCGGTTGAATGGCCGAGCTGCAATAATGTCACTCACGTATGCAGGAGCCACTTTTTACATCACACAGCTCTGAAGGATGTGCATGCCTTTTCTTCAGAGCACATGCGCCGGTGCTGTTTTACAAGTAAATATTTCCTCAACGGTGCACGTGCATATTTGCTAAGTCCCCTTCGGGACAGTTCCAAGGTTTTTGGACACTGTCCAGCAGGATCTAGGACACTTTGCAGAATGGCAGCAGGGTGCCAAATGTAAAGTGCCCAGGGGGTAAGTGACCTCCTGGCAGACATTCATGGTCCCAGCATTAGCAGAGCATCAGCATGGTAGCGTGGGTTCAGGTACGTAACCACTAAACACCAGAGCTTTTCTTTACTTTCACTGACCTCATTGATTTAGGGTTAATTTTACTCCCACTAGCATCAACAGTTTTGGGATCTTTTTGAGCCTACTGACACCACCAATTTTGGGCCTATTTTATCCCACTGACACCAATGATGTGGGGTTGATTTTTCTTCTACTGACACCAACAAATTTGGGATTTATTTTTCTCCCAAAAACACCAACAGTTTGGGGCTTATTTAGCTTCAAATGACCCCAACAATGGGACTTACTTTACTACTACAGACAGCATCGACAGGTCTTGTTTTATTCAACAGACACCATAATGGGGCTTATTTTAATTTCACTGACACCAATAAGGAAACTTATTTCTCTCACACCTACTCCCCATGCCCAATTTTATCTAAAACATGGCAAAGCATAGGGGGAAAGATGGACATTTTAAGCCAGTGTTTCTCAAGTAATGGATTGCGACCCAAAAGTGGGACGTGACTAGGGGTGGACTGGACCCTGGGGCAAGTGTCCCCCAGGCCTCTATAATGCCCTTACCATCACCCCAGACTTTGAGACACTTATCAATTACTGCACAAGTTGTTTTGTGGAATAAATTATAATGTTTTGGAAATTAAATTATTTTTGGCCAATGACAAATATTGGTCCTGAGGCTCCACAGTTTGAGAACCACTGCTTTAAGCCATACCCCAAAGCTACAATCACTTTTTTCACCCTTCATTATGTCCAAATGTTGGCTGCTCAAGACCAGTTTGGGTTCCACTCTGGCCAGTAAAGAACAGGAAAGGGAGGCCATAGTGAGCATGTGACAGATCTTGCATCATCACAAGCTGGCTCAATGAACATGACAGTAATTTCAATGAGCTCAATGGTCTGTGCTGCCCTAATTTTTGTTCAGATTGAAATAGAAGGATTGCAGCATGTACAGTATGTGTGACCAACAAATCTGCAGGAGCTGTGTATTGCTATGGATTCCGTCTGGACCAAAATGAATATTTCCAGTGGTACAGCGTAGGTGTAAATAAAATAGTTACTAAATGCAGATCAGACTGTAACACAGTATTTCTAGTCCACATGTAGGCTTACAGTCGAATGTCACTCAATCATATGCACAAACCCAAAGTCAGTAATTTTGAGTAGAAATAAAGAATTCTGGATGTTTAGCTCTAAAGTTAGATTCAGAATGAGAAAATGCAAGTAGTCATATAAAGATGCAAGCACAAGCAACATGACAGATTAGGTCTTTTGACATCAATGGCATATACTTGGTTTTTCTTGGTCTGTATTTCATTTCTCTATAGTTTTTTTTTCACAATAATTTTGGGAAGGGGAGTAGCTTTCTATGATAGGGTTCCATAGAAAGTGAATCATTATAGGGCCGCCTGGCAATCCATTGGTAGCTTCATTCATCTGAAATGGTCACCTGGACTGTATAGTCCTAACTATCTGTCACTGCTTAATTCCTAGTAAAGTCGATAGCACTGGACCCCTTGCATTGTTGGCTCCATCACAGATGAACAATATGCAACAGCTATCGTTACATCTTTGATTCCAGGCCAGAGACAGAATATATCTCCCTGGATGTTTTTACTTTATACAACAGCTGAGCTGGTGATATAGCAGCTCCTTGTAATTTCTATTCCAGTGTACTAAAGAGTCCAACAGCTGGAGAAAACTATTTCTTACAATTAAGGCATCTATTCCATGTTTCATATATAAGAGGACAATGATAATAAAATTAACAACGCTACTTGTCTGTTCAATAATTTATTCCTAAAACTTTCTGTTTTGCAGGTGTCTTTTATCATCAGGATGTTAAATCAATTAATCTGAATTCCATTAGCTTGTCTTTTAGTTTAATTTCACCAGTTGTTTTTGTTTATCAACACTCAAATGCTAATGTAATTTTTTTCCTAAACAGTGTTGTACATTGGCATTTAAAGAGTAAATTTGCTTTTATTCACTGTAAAGGACAGACAGTCTGCGTCCAGGGCCGATCATTGACAGGTGATCACTGCATGAGCGATTACATGTAAGCAGCCACGATTAGCTATGGGAGACTGTAGCCTCCATTTGTTGCCTATGGGGCTGCCTCATGCAGCTAATTGTCAGGAACCCCACTGGGGTCCTTTCATGTAAACTGTTCTGTCCCATTCACAGTTGTGAATGCCGTCTAAGGTGACTCAACTTTGAATGTGTTTGTGCAGATAGATGAGTGCTTATACTTAGGATGTCAAAGGCTACTCTCCTTTGTACCACTGTTTAGTCTCTCCCATAAGAATCTTGTAGACCTGATATAGAACTTGCAGCATGTGTTGCTCCATATTGGAGAATTCCCATTTTAATGAATTCCCCCCACAAGCCCATTCCTCTCCCAATCATCCATTACATATGAATTAGATGCATTTCTGTTTTTAGAATGCTACTCTGCAGTAGAAATTACTAGTTTTAGGCTACTCTTATATTTCATGGTCTTCAAGCCTTAAAGTGTCACTAAACCCAAATCATAAAAAAATATCAATCAATGGTGTATTACATGCTGTCCATATTCTTGGTCACAATGAGATTTATTTTCTGTATTCTGCAAAAAAAAAAAAAAAAGGTTGATCCTGATACTCTGTCTTCACCTTCTGTTTATGTCCCCAATTCAGCTAGGGATTTTGCAGCTATAGAGGCAACTCTGCACATGCTCAGTTTTCAGTGAGTTTCTATGCAGAGCATTTCCTCACCATCACATCTGAGCAGCCCATGTGACTATAGAGTTACACATGTGGGTGTATATACAGTAGTAAATGAGAGCCCATTCCATCCCTCCTCCTCCTCCATGCCCACTACCCAACTAAACACAATGGGGGTGGGATATTACATGTAGATTAATGAAGGAATCACCTCCTTGTTATTCTAAGACACAGGCTGGAGGAACGTGACACAGCCTTTGACTGGCAGAAATCCGCTCATATCATGTAATTTTCACAAAATAATAAAGATTTAATTTCAAATATATATTTGTATGCCAATTTAAAAGAGTTTATTGATATTATTTATTTTTTTACTCAGTATTTCAAAGGCTGTTTTTTTTTATTTTGAACATGTGACCAGCAGAGGAGGACTACAAGCTCCTACTGTGTATGTTTTCCTGCAGACAAGCTGGGAAAGTGCTGGGTCATGTGACTGCTGTATATAGATTAGGAAAAAGGTATTTAGATTTTTTTTTCTATTATAATAATTACAATGCCATCATTCATATACAAAAAGAGAAGGGATGATTGGAATTAAACAGTGTGTGTTTAGTATCACTTTTTGTATATAAAGCTGAAACTATTTTTAGTTGTTGATATGGATAAAACCTAATCTTGAGTTTTTTTTCTGTTTGTGTGACATTGGAGAGATTTTCTTTTACAGAGACACAACGGGACATGATAGAATTATTTTCTAGAGTAAAGGAAAGCCTCACTTAGGCCTCATGCACAAGGGCGCCTGGAACCATATAATATAAAATCTGAGTATTTTTCACCTCTCCGAGAGCCACAGAAGCTGAGTACAACTACCTATAGAACAGGGGTGGACTGACCATTTGGAAACTTGGGCACTGCCCGAGGGCCCGGGGTCAGTAGGGGGCCCCATGAGATGCCCCTGGTACCTTTTTCATAGGCTTTTTTAAGTTTGGGCAAGGACACAGGGGCCCCATGATCCCCTATTGCCCACGGCCCCATGAGTTGTCAGTCCGCCCCTGTTATAGAAATCAATGTACATGGGTGGGCATTGTTACTTGTGGAACACCTACATCTAGGGGTGTACGGCCATACACATGCACCTGTTTATGTAAGTACCTGTTTATTCTCATGTACAGCTGTGTATAATCATTCATTTCTATGGGAGGCTGTATGCAGCACCTGTGTCTTCTGGCTGGGGAAATATATTCACATTTTACATTATATGGTCTCAGGCACCTGTCTGCATGAGGCCTTAGACAGTGACTCCCATTGTAAGATTTCCCTTCTAATGCTGTTCTGTGACAACTCTAAAGTTTGGATTTTCCCACACTTCCAGTACTGGTAACAATGATCACCAAGGCAAACAGAAAGGGTGAACTTCTCTAGTGGAGACACAGATAGCTATATAAAAATAGTTGTGATACATTTATACTGTAGCCAAAAATAAATTATTTTAGTAGATATAAATGGCTAAATACCTTTTCTCATCAGCAGTTAGAGCAGTCTTGTGACTTGTATCAGTGTCTAGCAGAGAACTTGTTAAAGCTTGTAGGAGGAGTTTTCATTTTGCTCTAGGAGGATGCAGAACCCCTGACCTCTGTCTGGGACAGTGCTGATTGGCCCTGTGCTGATCACATGCACTCCCCGAAGAAAAAAAAAAAACCTCTGTAGAAATACACACCAAACTGAGCATGTGCAGAGTGACTCCACACGATATGTCATATTAGGAGATAAGAAAGGGACATTGGAAGAAGGGGAGGATCAGAGAAGTCAGGATCAAACAGCATTTTTACACAATGCAGAGGATTAACCCCTTAGGTTCCACAGTGAGTATAAACACGCTTTACTGCATTATACAGGCTGATTTTGCTGTTGTTGGTTTAGTAACACTTTAACATACAATTTAAAGCTTAACTCCAACCAGTGTAAAACACATTAGCATTAATGCACTTAAAGCGGAACTCCAGGCACACAATCTTATGCTTGTCAATAAACAAAAAGCATATACTTCACTTTGTGTGCATGGAATGCCTTTGAAAACCCAGTTATTATCTTGTCAAATTAGCAGTGACATTGTCTGTGCTGTACATAGCCTGTGCAGAGAGCAGAACTGTGGACCCAGCAGGCCCCACCCACTACAGAAAAACTAAAGGGGGGGGGGAGAGACAACACCAGTAACCCTGCACAAGGAGAGAGAGTGATAGCCCATATGGAAGAAAAAATATATTTGAAATATATTTTAAAAATATTCTTCACAAATATATTGACACATATTTGAAATGCTACCATTTTGGCCATATTCAATATATTTCAAAATGTATTTCAATAAATAAATATTTTTCTAAAATATATTCTTCAGATTTTTTTTTTTTAATATAAAAAAGTCATTTTAACATATATTTTTACATATATTTGTAAATACATTCCAAAAATGTAGATTTTGTATTTTGAAAGACATACAGTATATTTGAAATGTATTTTTAAAAATATTTTTCATATATTTTGTAAAAAAAACGCATTTCAACATACTGTATATATATATATATTTTACACACACACGTATATATTTATTTATTTAAATCTATTTTGAAATATATTGAACATGGCCAAAATTGTAGAATTTCAAATATATGTCAATATGTTCCGGAAATATTTTTAACCACTTCCCGACCGGCCCGTTGCATATAAACGGACAGACGGTGGCAGTGTAGGGTCGCGTGGCCGTTTATAAATGGCCTCCCTGAACCCTGCTTGTGCGCGCTCCCTGGGAGCATGCAGCACCGCGATCCGGTGCCCGCTGTGTACTCCGGACACAGTGAAACACCGATCGTCGTACGGGACCTCTGTACGAGGTCCCGATCATGTGATCACTGATTGGCCAATCAGTGATCATATGCAAAGTAGTAAGCAAGATGTCACTTGTGACATCATTGCTTACTACGTGTGAAATCTGTGAATGATCACAGAGGTCACATGGTACAAGGCTATTCACAACAGCCTTGTACCATGTGACAAGCTGTGACCAATCTCAGCTCACTCAGTACTTCTCAATGGGTGCAAGAATGCAGACAGAGAGAAGGAGAAATGATTGCTTTTATATCCTATATGGGTGTAAAAGCAATCAGTGTAAAAAAAAAAAAAAATCTTCATCACCCCCCACAAGTAGTACAGTGTCACCATGGTGACACTGTACTGCTAGGGTGACAGTATGTAAAAAAAAATAAAAAATAAATAAAAAATAATAATATAAAAAAAAAATAAAATAAAAATGTAAAAAAAAAAAGTTTAAAAAATATAATTTTTGGTTATAAACTAATTTGATTTTTTTTTTTACTAAAAAGATAATGAAATACATTTTGGCAAAGATTTATGATGAAATATTATTTATTTGCAAAATTTTATAAAAAAAACACTTTTTTCAAAATTTTGGGACTTTTTCATTTACATAGCAAAAAAAATAAAAATCCCAGCGGTGAATAAATACCACTAAAATAAAGCTTTATCTGTCTCAAAAAAATTGTAAAAAATTAATTAGGGTACAGTGTTGCATGACCGCGCAATTGTCATTCAAAGTGTGATAGCGCTGAAAGCTGAAAATTGCCCTGGTCAGGAAGGGGGTAAAAGTGTCCAGACAGGAAGTGGTTAAAATATATTTCAAATATATTTTTCTTTCATGTGTGGGTCTTTATTTCATGAAACTCCCATACAGAGGAAACATTTCACACTAGACTATTGCAATTTGGAAGAAATACACAAAACACACAAAGATCCATATCAGAATGCACATCTTTCTTGTATTTAGACAAGATTTTCCTATCCTGAAGTTCAGTTTTAGCATAAAAAATCTACCTAACTCTAGATCCACTTTAAGAAGGACAGGTACACTTTCACTGTACTGATTTCAGAGGGCATGACAACAAAACAAACTACAAAATGGAAAGGAAGGTTGAAAACCATATAATGAAGGTTGTATTCTATTTCAGGAGAGATCATCTCCACTATGCCTGTCTGGCCTGAACTCCTTACACACTATGAGACAATGAAGAGAAAGACCTTAATCAGGGAAGAAGCGTTGAAGGAAACACCCAAGTGAACAGGTGTTTTCGCCTTTCTATAGATAGATATGATAGACAGAGGTATTTCTTTGCAGAATTCAGGTGTTTCTGTACATAAGGGCATTTGGACATCCTCCAAGCCTAAATATCTTTTTCTCCCCTGGGGATAGTATACTTTGCAGCTCTTCAAGCTTGATTACAGCAAGTTTAATGTTTGTGAGAAAGATTCAACCTTCTTCGTGTTACAGATATGTGCTATTAGGCCAGAAATACTTATAGCTGTAATTATATCTCTCTGCTGCATTATGTAGTCTAAAGAGCCAGGTGGTATATTATTAAGGTTCTCAATATTTGAGGTTGGACCTATAGCCTATCATATTAATTACCACAATTTTATTCTGAAGTAATTGTAAACTCAGTCTTTAAATTTCACATAAGCTTGATCATGTTAACGTCAGTGAGTTGGTGGAATTGGGTTTTAAATTAACATTTCCCAAAACCTATACGCCAGAAGATAATCCTAATAGGATCTCATAGACTCAGTGGCCCCATAGATTACAGAGGTTGTCTGTTTTTATTCACTGTATCATAGGAATGCTCAGTCTCTTTTGATGAAGCCAGGTCAAGGCCTTTGAGGTCAGCTTGGCCTGAGGGATATAGCCAACAATAACGACAATTTAGCAGCAATTAAAGGCATGTTGAGGGACCGTATAGTACCTGCATTGGGTGGATATATTACAAAGGGTTACTTTTGTGAAAGATGCTTAATATAATAAAACTTAAAGTGTTACTAAACAAACAACAGTAAAATCAGTCTGTATTTGCAGTAAAGCATGCTTGTTATACTAACTATTGAACCTAAGGAGTTAATCCTCCACATTGTGTGATAAGGCTGTTTGATCCTGTATTCTCTGATCCTCCCCTTCTTCTACTGCCCCAATCCATCTGCTGATAGTAAACAGCTATTGGAGTCACTCTGCACATGCTCAGTTTGGTGTGTATCAGTTTGGTGTGTATTGCTAGGGAGTTTTTTTTTTTTGGGGGAAGGTGCATGTAATCAGCATAGGGCCAATCAGCACTGTCCAGACAGAGGGTCAGGAGTTATGCAGCCGCATAGGATAGTCAGAGGACAATGAAAACTCCTTCTACAAGCTTTAACCAGTGCTCAGCTGAACATTGATAGAAATCACAAGATTGCTATACTGTATACTGCTGATGAGAAAAAGTATTTAACAGTTTATATTTACTAAAAAAATTGTATTTCCATGTCCTATGTACTGTGGGAGACCAGATATAGGGAATGCAGGGTCCTGGGTTTATTAACACTTTAAGCTTATCAGGATACGGAAATAGAGGCACTTTGTAACACTGTATGGGCTTGTTTTTACGTGTGGCAGCCCAGATCTTGCCTCCTTGCCGCATGTCTGAATGAGCCCTAAAAGCTGATTCACACATCAGTGGTGCGAATTGAAGCTCAGGTATCACAGCTAATTGATACAGTAGTTGTTCAGCAGTTCAGGTCAGGTTTACATCAGGTTCAGGACAGGATTAGCTCAGAATCTTATTTTGTTCACACATATGCAGTTTAGAAATGGTTCCCATAGAAGTCAAAAGCCTGTAATCTGCAACTTAACTAAACCCACTGCTCAGAAATCGGACATGACTGTTTTTAAAACCACAGTGAATCCACACTGAATCCGCACTGCCAGTGCACCGGATATATGTGAACAGGCACCATAGGAAGCAATGTTTTTTCACATCATATGGATTGAATGCAGTTCAAACCGCTTCCAATCTGCATTTTTGTGAACGGGCACTTAGTCTGTTTTCACAATTCCACTAGCACTCGACATTTTTCCTTCCCCAAGATCCATTGCCCCTGCTTATTCCTGTGAGATCCTGCTTTCCCTTCACATAACTGCTAAGTGGAGGATAGGCTGCAGTAGAATAAAAGGGAACAAATGGGGTATCAGCCTAGGTGCAGTAGGTTAAAAAAGGGTAAAAAAGCTAAATGACTACTCACAAAGGTAGTACATTGGTAGGCATGTAGTGATGTTAATTATCTGGGAGATGTCTTGGAGTTGACCGATGGTAGTCTGCCACTCCTCAGTCTGGTATGTCCGTGCCAGACTGGGAGCTGTCAGTCATGTGAGCCATAACCAGCGTGGAACGCACGGAGAGCCGGGCCGGGAGCAACACCCAGTGGGAGAGCACAGGCAAGTAGAATAAGCATACAAGAGCCTAGCACATGAAAATAGATCCCACACCTCCCACAAGAGTGTGACCACAAAGCAACCCCGGCTATCAAGAGGCATCATGTAGGGAAAACTCCAGTGGAGACACCCTCCAGTGCATTTTACCCCCATAACAGCACCTCCTTCTGATGCACCTCACTCCTTGGCTCAAGGTACCTACTCTCCATTAAACTCACCTCACATTCCAGTCACAGCACCTCCCACCTACCTTGCCCCTCAGTATCAGCATCTCCCACCTACTTGCCTGGTCACAGCACCTTCCTCCTACCCACCTTGCTCTGATTTACAGCATCTTCCATACATCTCTTCGCTGGTCTCAGCTCCTCCCTGCCACCCACCTCACCCCATGGCTCACAATGTCTCATTCCCACCAACCTGGGCTCCATGGCTCAGAGTGTCTCATTCCCACCAACCTGGTCTCCTAGCTCCATGGCTCACAATGTCTCATTCCCACCAACCTGGTCTCCTAGCTCCACTTTGACAGTCAGTTCCACTCTACAAACATTTCTGTTCTGGAACATGCACAGTTTTGCTACTTCAGTTTTAAAGCTGAACTCCAGCCTTCCGTCTTCCCTTCAGTCTTGCACAGTTGTATGGGCTGCTCCCCTGTACTAAAATTTTATTGTTTGATTTCACTGCACACAGTGATCTTCTGAAAGTTTAATTTATTAGGTTGAGTAAGTGAGGTGGAACCCACCTCATTTCCTGCATGGGGTATGTCCAGCATCTCCTAAACCTTTCCTCTCCAGCCTTACTGTGTCTGGCCTGCCCCTTTCATTAGTTGATTTTGGTTCCTTCCAAACTGATATTTTAACATTCAGCTTCAATTGATTTCAATGGGATTCAGATTCTGCACCCACACTTTAAATATGTTTTGCAAACCTGCCTCAAACTGAACCATGGTACATTCGACATACCTGCCACAAATATGATCGGACTTTCAGACTTGGTCAAGCCATTCCCATTTTGTTATACCCTGGAACTTTCAGGGACTAAAAATAGAAACTGTCCTTCCAAAATTTGGACAGTTGAGGGTAGGAAAATAGACTAGTTAAATAAATTACATTATTGTTTGTGGGGTTCCAGATTTTATTTATTTTTTACTGTGCAGAATTTTGTTTTCAACGCTTTTTGTAGAATTGCTAACAATTATTTGAATAGTTTCTATTCCTATATATGTAAAGATTATTATACGTGATGCTCAAATTTTCATTTAAATGTTCATCCCATCCATGGCCAGCATTACTTCATAATGAGCTTTTTTCCTATTATGTGTTAATGTCACAGCCCCATACTAAGATCTAAAATGAGCTAGTGGTCAATATCTATCTATCACTGTGCTGAGCCTCGCCTATACACCATCATCCTTCACTGCTTCCCCATCAGGATAAACAAGTCAATATATAGAACCAAAAGTCACAGGAATGATTTTTCAGCAAATAGTGACAGCTATGCCCCAAGCTTACACATCATGTTCCCTTCATGCTGACAAATATTCAATAGGTTACGGTCTGCATATTTATTTAGTACTGACACTAAACCAATATTACAACAGCTTTACAGAGATTGCTCATAGGAATAAGTAAATAAGTGGAGAATCTCTTAGTGCATAGATAGTGGCAAGTTCTAACAAATATCATCTGTTCTCTAGATCTGAAATGTGTACAGATAAGATACACCCAGTATTTTATGTCTGCTATTCATGTCAGCCAGTGTTCAATGAAAATCCAGGTTTAGACCATATACCATGATAAAGTAGTGAAAAGGGCTTTATTTTATCAGGTCTAATAGTACGCAAGGAATGAGGATCCACATTTCCAAAAATGGTTTTAGACCCCCTTCACACAGGATGGACCTGTCAGCAGATCCACTTGCACAGCAGGGGATGTACCCGCTGATCCCTGCTGAGCAAGCAGATAACAGGTTCATGTCCACTCCGCCTATACAGAGCAGACACGGACACAGCCCGCTGCCCTCTTTGGGCTGTTGGATGAAAATGGTCCACCTGTCCATTTCCACCCGACTGTCATCTGACCCGATCAGCCAGACAGATGAGGAACGGATCCCCATCTATCTGCTTTTAGCTGACAGATGTCCATTTACACCCACTGCACCATAGAGATCAATGGAGCTCCCAATCAGGTCCACTTGAAAACAGGCAGACCCGATTGGTCCGCGCATGTGAAAGGGGTCTTCACAGCACATGAGATTGTTAAACACATTGAATATAGTATATACAACAGTTCACTCACTCTGGCTCGATAATCAGTCTAGGGGATGTCATTTTTTTATTACTGAAAAACCTGCAACTGGGTTGGATAGTGGGTATGGGATACACCAGAATGTCTGAGCCAGGGGCGGACTGACCATTTGGAAACTCGGGCACTGCCCGAGGGCCCGGGGTCAGTAGGGGGCCCCATGAGATGCCCCTGGTACCTTTTTCATAGGCTTTTTTGAGTTTGGGCAAGGACACAGGGGCCCCATGATCCCCTATTGCCCGGGGGCCCCATGAGTTGTCAGTCCGCCCCTGGTCTGAGCACAAGGTTGCAGACATTTCTCTTATTCTAAATAGCAGCAACTCCCAGTAGTGTACCAGAAGAATATTAGGGCACGGATTTCACATAGAGCATTTCTCCACTAGTTTGTAGCAACACAGTCTTTTACTCCCAGCTGTAGTCGAGGAGATTATTAGAATATATGCAGGACATTAGGGTAGACTGGAACAGTCTAAGTTTCTTGCAGCTGACAACCACAAGATGGGTTTGGACCTCTTTTTGTAACAGACTAAAACAGTCTGGGTTCTTGCAGCTGACAACCACAAGATAGATAGCACCACAGGCATCCTGGAACAGTTTCAACATCCCATAGCTGGGGACCAGAACTGGAGATTAAGCTCTGCTCACGGATCCCAACAGAGAACAAGTCCATGTGCTTGGTCCATGGGAGAGAGAAGTCAAGGAACCAGTCCAGGAAGGCTGGAAGGCTTCAGTGCTAGCAGCCCCCTAAAGCACATGGCTCCATTCCCTCTTAGGGAAGAACAGATCTGCCCAGGTCCCCTGCTATTTACCTGCCTCCCACCAACTATCTGTGCACACCTTAACAGGGATTGATTGGAACATGGTAAAAGCCCAGCCTGAGCATTTGAATTTCCTGTCCTACATTCATCTAGCATCCTTATCCTAGGAGGGTGCTCTCTCTCTCTCTCTCTCTCTCTCCCCCCTCTCCCCCTCTCCCTCTCCCCCCCTCTCTCTCTCTCTCTCTCTCTCTCTCTATAGCTCAAGAAGATTGAAAGAACACTTTTTAATCATAGCATCCAGTCAAAGTATAGCATCAAGTCAATTACACTCCTGGGATATTGATTTGGTCAGTTGTAGCAGAGGGGGTTGTTAATCAGTTTCAGCTGCTTTGGTGTTAATGAAATTAACAACAGGTGCACTAGATGGGCAACAATGAGATGACGCCCAAAACAGGAATGATTTTACAGGTGGGAGGCCATGGACATTTTTTTCCCTACTTATCTTTTCTTACTATTTTTCACTAGTTTTGCATTTGTCTAGGGTCAGTGTCACTACTGGTAGCATGAGGTGATACTTGGACCCTACAGAGGTTGCACAGGCAGTCCAACTCCTCCAGGATGGCAAATCAATACGTGCCATTGCCAGAAGGTTTGCTGTGTCTCCCAGCACAGTCTCAAGAGCATAGAGGAGATTCTAGGAGACAGGCAGTTACTCTAGGAGAGCTGGGCAGGGCCATAGAAGGTCCTTAACCCATCAACAGGACCAGTATCTGCTCCTTTGTGCAAGGAGGAACAAGATGAGCACTGCCAGAGCCCTACAAAATAACCCCCAGCAGGTCACTGGTGTGAGTGTCTCTGACCAGAAACAGACTTCATGAGGGTGGTCAGAGGGCTCGAGGTCCTCTAGTGGGCCCTGTGCTCACTGCCCAGCACCATAGAGCTCGATTGGCATTTGCCATTGAACACCAGAATGGGCAGGTCTGCCACTGGAGCCCTGTGCTTTTCACAGATGAGAGCAGGTTCACCCTGAGCATGCAGCATACGTGAAAGGGTCTGGAGAAGCCATGGAGAACATTATGTTACCGTTAAAATCATTCTGCATGATCGTTTTGGTGGTGGGTCAGTGATGGTTTGGGGAGGTATATCCATGGAGGGACTCCCAGACCTCTACAGGCTAGACAATGGCACCCTGACTGCCATTAGGTATTGGGATTAAATCCTTGGCCCCATTGTTAGACCCTATGCTGGTGCAGTGGGTCCTGGGTTCCTCCTGGTGCATGACAATGCCCGGCCTCATGTGACGAAAGTATGCAGGCAGTTCCTGGAGGATGAAGGAATTGATACCATTGAATGGCCCCACGCTCACCTAACCCAAATCCAGTAGATCACCTTTGGGATATCATGTTTCAGTCCATCCGATGCTGCCAGGTTGTACCTCAGACTGTCCAGGAGCTCAGTGATGCCCTAGTCCAGATCTGCGAAGAAATACCCCAGGACACCATCCATCGTCCCATTAGGAGTATGCCCCGACGCTGTCAGGCATGCATACAAGCACATGGGGCCATACAAACTACTGAGTACCATTTTGAGTTGCTGCAATGAAATTTCAGCAAAATAGACTAGCCTGCTGCATCATTTTTTTCACTTTAATTTTCGGGGTGTCTTTGAATTCAGTCCTCTGTAGGTTGATACTTTTCATTTCCATCAAACGATGGGGCATCCTTACATTCCTAACACATTATATGCAAGATGGTGTAGCGCTATATAGAAAGACAATAATTGTGACAATCGGTGCTACAAAACACACGAGGTCCTAATGATGAACCAAATGAAGTGACCTACACAGTAAATGGTGAACCCAATCCCTATAGGGATAAAAAAAACAGTGTGCCCCCTGGTACCCAATATCCTTACGTTCCTAACACATTACCCAGTCCATATCAGTATAGATGAATGGATACTCCAACTATGCCATTTTGTGGCTGGGGGCCTAACATGTTTGTGCACTAAGGGTTTTTGTGCTCATCAATGCCAGGACTAGGTGGGAATTCTTATGTGCTGTCTAACACTAAGACAGTCTCCTGACTTAGAGATGAGCCAACTCTGCATGTAGAATGAAGCTGAGTTTCATTTGGGGATATTTTCAGACCAGGCTCACAGACAAAGTATAACAGACTTTATTGATCATTTAGTGTAAACATGATACAAAGTGCAAATGGTCCATTTCTTCTTGCCCTGAATGACTAGTGATTTGCTCAGGTGTTACCTTTTAAGGTGTTAGTCCATAATGGCAGAGTCCATGGCTGGAAGAAGAAGAGGCTTCTCTTAGTCCTGGAGTGTGGAGGCAGCAACACAACACACCGGAGCACTCAGGGTCTCTGGAATCTCTCTGGGCTCCACAGACCTCAGCCTTCTCCCATTTTATATCTCAGGTGGCCTTGCTGAAGCCTCAAAAAATCCAGTGATCCAGAAACAGTGATCTTAACTCTTTCCCAACCCAGCCTGGGCCAGTACCTTACTAAATGGTACCCAACCTGCTTACACACTCGTGGCTAAGATGCAAAGATATGGGTTACTGCCAGCATAAACCTTAAAGTCCCCACCTGCTCCAGAGGTCCCAAAGAAGAGATCCCCACCATTCAGCAATGTCTTAGTTACAGACATCCCTCTCTTTCACGTGGATTAGTCCCAAAATACCCATAATCAGGGTTTGTAGCTCTTTTCCACCCAAAATCTCTCAGATTCCATATAAGGGCTTAAAACACCTGGAAAATCTGCAAAGCACCCAGGATCACCCTGGAACCCCTCACCTTGCATAGATGAGAATCCCAGAGTATTCCCAAACAGAGGTAACCAGGTATCTCATATGTTCAAAAGGGTTTCTGCAATGGCAATCTGCAAAGGTTTCCTTCACAATGTGCCCTTTCATACCGCACAGCCTGGACATTTTCCTGACTGTGCCAGAGTTCATTTATTCCTCTCAGGTGAGAAGAGAGAAGATAAAAAGGAGGATTCTGATTGGCTGTATTGGTGGTTGCAAGGAGGCCTTGAAGCAAGGATAAGGATTAAGCTGCTTACAGTGACAAGAGACCCAATAGGCACCAGGTAGACCAATGTGTACTGCCAGTGGAGAGAAAAAGTGCAGGTTCCAGTTGGCCAACCTGTGCAGCAACCACCATTGTGGTCTGCATCTTGTCCATCTTCATGCACATGCAGGAGTGACCTTTCAGTGAACAGTGTATCTTAGTGGACATCTTTCTGGTAGATTGCATTCAGGCCCCATAGTCAGCATTTTCTGAAGTGGGAAATGTTGGATGTGTTCAATGTTGTTCTACTGAATTGGCAGCGTTGTTCTCTACTTACCCAGTGTGTTTCTGGCAAGGCCTTTCACTGGCAGTAAAGAGATTGAACACCACTAATCATTTCATTGTATGATGCAGCTGTTCTTATTCTACTGCTTTTTCTGCTGTTCAGTCTATTTAACTAATACTTCTCCCCAGAGCTTACCGTTATTTGTTTAAAAAAAAGCCCATTTATTTGTCATTGGTGTGTCGGTGTACTATGGGTCCAGTTACAGGACAGGTCATCACTGTAGAAGGTAGGAGAACCCATTATTTACCAACTGCTTCTACATAGGTAAAAAGTACATTTTAATTCAAGGCATTCTTTCCCACTCTTCCAGAGATGGATTAAGGCAGATTGGAGCTCACGGCAAGATAACAAGTTTGCCCCCTTCCCATCTCTGATTTGCATTGACAAGGTTTGCAATAAATACAGTGTTGGTAAAAACGTACCATCTCCTGACATCTGACATCAGCTTTTTGGTTAAATGCACCATCTCCTCCTTCTTGGAGATTGAAGATGGACCCCCTGGACATCCATTAAGCCCTTCACTTCTGCTGATCCTTAGTTGTTTTCTTCCTACTTTGCTCCCTGAGTCATCGCTCATATACTTAATGGGACAACCAGTATTCATGAAGGACTGTTCTTAAAGTCTTTTCATGTCCAATGATTCCACTATGGTCATATGTTCACCCGCAAAGGGAAACCTTTACCCAAGAAAAGGTAGAAAAGGCAAGCATTTGTCTGTTGAAAGAAGCATGACTGTCATAATAGCTAAAATGATTTACAGGTATCTACCCATCCCTTTAAAGAATTCTCCATTCAAGATAAAAATCTTGCAACATATATTTTGGCAGAAGGCTCCCGATGCCAGGTTCTAGTGGTAATACTGAAGCTATCTCAAGTGCAACTAATAAAATATCCACAACAGTAGAACTAAACTCTAACAGAAGAATACTTTTATTTAAGTAATACCTGTATAGGTAAAACAATTTTTCCCTGACTTTGTTCTGGCTTTTTTCCCCTACACTGTGCACATCTTGTAGACTCTTTGTATAAACTTTCTGGGGATGTGTGCATGCTCCAGTTGCATCTGAATGTGAAAGGTTTACTCTGGCGACTACAG